ACTCGAAGTACAACCCAAAATCGAAATTCGTTATCCTTTAAAACTTATATGCTACCTATGTGGGGTGTGCGATAGACTTACCCCCACGTGGTGCACCCTGGGCAACGTATACTCATATGGCAAAAAAGTCTATTAACCGGCATTTGACTTCTGACTTCAAACTACCATGGCCCAACTGCTTGTCAAATTCGACCCCCTTCACAGTACTTATCTTATCTTTTTCTCTACCTTTGAGTCTGTGTGTCTCTTTTAAATCTGCGAATCGCTCTTCTGTTCCCCACCCCTCGACTTTCTGCTACTTTGATGAACCTTCCCTCTGTGAAGCCCGAAGGCAGCTAAATGGCTAATGATAGCTGTCAAAACGCCCGCCACTTGAAATAAATAAATAATAATGCTACCTACGTAATTCTAAGTAGTAGTGTTTCAATAAACTCACCTGCAGCGGGTGAACCCACAGCACTTGCGATCCCACGAACCATTACAACAATACCGTAGGCATTCGTCAATGCTTCAAGGTCAAGAATATCGCAAAGAATGATCGACGTGAGGGAGAAGAAGGGTGCTGAAATAATAGGGAAAACTAAATATCAACAAAATAGTGGAGTTAAAGGTGGAGATGAATGTTAAATAATGATGCCTCACAGATAACAATGCCATAGAAGACCATTAGGATCATTTGACCGGCTAGACTCCCCCAGTAGGGCATAGCACAGACTACAACAGCAGCTAATAGCATTGTCACAGCGGAGAGGAGAGTTGACGAGACGTTCGGAATTCCAGCTGCCCATGAACAGGTCAATCGACTTAACACGCTGGCAGCACCTGTATTTAAGCGAAATGATAATTTACTTATTCCTTCTAAGTAAATTAGTGGTGCCAGTTGATAAATTAAATTAAATCCGATTGTTCTAAGTTACTGAGAAGTACTGGGAGTTTAAGGAGACTGACAGAACAAAAACAAGTCAGTGAATTTTTTTATCGCATTACGGATTTTTTGAAATAAGGCCAAACCATGGGCTCATTATTACTAAAGAATGGAAGTCAGGGTGCAAAAGTGTACTTACCTGTCGGTTCCAACTTAAGGTTACGCTCATCGTTGTACTGCCTAATCTTTCAATATCTCAAACACTTGTAAATCTTTGCGGCCTATTACCAATAACGCGTAAACACCGCATACATAACGACTCATGCTAAATAGTTGAATATCGAGTCCTTTCAATTACCCACTCAAAAATGGTTACTTTATATATTAAGTAGACGAAATTTTTAAATTATAACCTACCATAAGCGGTTAGAAGGTAGGCCGATTGACTTGTTGGAATATCGAAAGAATCCGCAAGATCACATACGAAAAAGAGAGGAACGTATATACCTGGAAAGACAGTCAAAATAGGGCATTTGAGTCATTAAAACAGACGCTCCTTGTGAAAGAGTAAAACCCATCACTTACCCATAACAGCAATGAGGCTAGCCAAGCAATACATGGCGAAACTAAACGATTTTAAGAGCGACAAATTCATCATAGCCACCAGGACGTCAAACATTGATTTGGGCAAACTTGCACATCGTCTGACAAGAACAAGTCTAGGTTTCCTTGACATTTTGTCTTTATCTCCCACAAATAGAGATCTCTTGAAGTGCTCCATTTTATCACCCTCCTCATCATCTTCAGATTGTGTCCTTTCTGTTTTCCAGCATAGCCACCATCCACAGAGAGAATGTGACCTTGGGACATGGTAGATTCCATCTGCTGGCTTCTCTGACAGATTGATATTGGTTTCCACTTTTAGGCGATCCCAAATTTTGGCCTCTTCTTCGTCGCTCAGATCCGACTTAGATTTTTCTTCATTGAACACATCAGGAAGGGGAATTCGAGTGAGAGACATCATACAAGACCCTGTCCAGTTTTCGTCTATCGGAGCCCCATTCTCGAGGACTGAAACTTCAGTGATTGGTGGAAGAGGTACATTGTCGCCAAAGTTAATGCTACTTCCAAAGACGGATGTTCCCATGGAAATCTTTCGATTTCGAATACCATCTGGAATTCCAACGCCGCCACCAAGCGATGCTTGAGTGGATGTACCCCGGTTGTCAAGATTTTCGTCAATATTGGATGCGGCGGCGGCGGCGGCGATCTGAGCAGCTGTCTTACTTATTTTTCGCTTTACGCTCCCCCTAAATTAATGAGGCATGGGAAGTACACAAACTAACTCATAGGTTTTTTTCAGTCCAAAATTGCATAATGACTCACAAATGGCACAATCCTACAGCTCCTCAAGGCATATTTTACTTCATCTGCTCCCCAAATCATGGGTTTCCCCGGTCAGTACAGATACATTTTCTCTTTGTCCCCTTAATTCCGACTCCTACTCACTTTCACCCCTCCTCTTTCCATTCATTTTTCAAGTGGCCAACAAACGCGTGATCCCTCACAACTCTCAGTCTCTTCATTTTGAAAATACCGATGTGTCCTGACAGCCTTAGGGAAGACCATTGGAATGCTACGTTTTTCTGTCTCGTAAAGTAGTCTAAATGCACTTAATGCAACCTTAAATCCCTCGTGAATGATTCCAAAAATCCATAGGTCACACCATCTTAAGATTTTGGCACTCGCTAATCATCAAATATGGCGGTGCGAAACCGACTTTTTACTCAAATTAGTTCAGTAGACTTACGGGAAGAAGATATCTGTCCTGTAGAGTGGACGAGAGTAGTCCTCAACGCTTATACTCTCATGAGGCAATTCAACGATAACAGGAGCTCCGGAGTCAATCAAATCTTCTACTGAACGGATATCAGAAGCTGAGGCACCAGGTCGTACGGCAGCTGGAGGAAGAAGTGCCGATCCAAAGGTGCTCAATCGGGATTGAGTCACTTGATCGTATGCCGCAGAAACGGATCGATTGCGAGGTGCAGAAGCCGTAGCCAAATAAAAAGTGGATCTCTTAGGGATGGGTCTTATGTATTCGCGGGTTGGATAACATTCAGAAACGTGAGTTCGTCTCCTGGTAACTTGACTGTGCCTAGGATTTGAGGCTAAAAAATTAAAACAGAGACAAAGACCTCCATTATTACAGTTACAAGAAATGCCTTAAGTTTTTGCTATTTCTAGCATTCATATTTGTCCCCTTATCAATAAGATAGGACAAATTACCATACAATATATAATTCGGATGGGCGAATGCATGACCACAGTTGTGAAACAGTTAGAAGTAAGAAAAGTGGGTCAATGGGATTCAGGATAAATCACATCCTTTCTCAGTCCAAACAACCTATACTGCCTTGAAGAGGCCCACAAAGAGGTCGATTTAACCATAAAAATGGCAATCTGATATGCCATTTCAAAAATCTATATCCCTTATAAGACTTGAAATCTAAATATTGAGGTATAAAATCCACACTTCACCTAGATACAGTCATTAGGGCATACACACATAACTTCCCCTTCCTGGAACACTCAAAAACAGTTGACAATTGCGTACTTCATTGCTTGTGTTTGAATTTGCTCGAGCTGGGGATTTGGACTATTTTATCCAAAACGCCAAGGCAAAGTAAAGGCTTCCTTGGTGTGCTTGATAGATTTGTCTTAGCCATGAACTTGTGTGAGATTTCTTAGATGATTTACTTTTATTTACCTATTTATTCTCTCATCGACCTCCAACTTATATGCATTCGATTTTAAATTGTCATGTCACTCATTTAAGATGGTAAGAGAAATCCCACTGCAGCTCTGGATCTGACCTTTAGACCTACTGTTGAGGGGTCAACCACCACCTTAGCCACCATAAATTTTACGAAACGATTCACCAGAAAATTGCATTGGAAAAAAATAGGGAGCTTACTTCTGAGTCGAGGATTCAGACTGGAAGTAGACTTGATACATTCAACAGTAGAAATTGACCTACGAGGCGCTGCACCGCGAGCAGTAGCCTTGTACGCATGAGGCACATCCCCACCGTCCATCAATTTGCGAGAAGTTTTTGAGGTCTCCTTCAGTGGACATCGCTAAATAAGTGGGAGAGGAAAATAGGATGCGAAATCCTTAATTCCACGTCTTCATCAAAATTGTAAAAAAAGTGTGAGAGATCACTGTGCTACAGCTGAAGCGAACTCTTCCTGTTAGCTTCAAATGTCCTACTTCAGGCTGTTTCGAATTTAAAGCCGATTTCCATAAATAACGACACGTGTGTATCCCGCCTTGTCTTACATATAGGCCAGGTGGGCACATTTGTCCAGGCACCTCTCTCTAGATTAAGATTTCATTGGCTAAAGGAGAATAAGAGTTGCAAAAAACCCTAAATGAATAGCAATGCCTTGAACCACTATTTGGCAACATATTCTCCTATATACCGAAACAAATTCCTGTTTCAATAAATAGACCACTATTAATGAAAACAAGTCGATGAAGAGTACAGTATTTTATGGGTAAACGAAGTAATGGCCAAACCTCATCCTCGTTCTCCTTATTAACGCTCTCATCTTCGGAATTGGAACAAAAGTGGGAGGCTTCCTCGTCACAAGATGATCCACACGTGGAAACATCGCTAGTGACATTAGATACTCCTCCCGCAGAATTGGCATCTGCATCAGGATCTACATCTGGGTCCGCATTACCACCAGCTCCCCCTTCGTCCTTCTGACTGAAACTTCGAAGCAGGCTGATGCCATTCACCCAAAGGGCGTATTGCTGCTGGATATGTTGTTTAAATGTCAGTTTCTTGGATTTCCGTACACGGTGGTGACGATGGTGACGAGGTTTTGCCACAGGTTCCTTGCTCTGCTCAGGTTCTAGAAGTAAGCATTACTAGTAGTGATAAGAAGGCGATACAAAAAGGCTCAACGCTTCAGTAGTATTACTGTCATGTCTAAAAGGTCATCCAAAACTCCTATCCACTTGCTGACGCATGTTGTTACTGGCAGTTCGACGATTATTCGCGTCCTATAAATGTCGTCAATCGAGTAAGTTCTTGAGCTTAAGACATGCCCATAAATTGAGCTTCGATCTTATACCTCGCTCTCTCTCCCTCTTAAGAGACCTGAGCTAACCTTAGCGTAGCAATAACTAGTGTGAAAACGGATTACAGCAGCAGAAACAAGACGCTTAAATACTCCAACAGCATCTAATTCGCACGCTACTAACTATTCAGACATTGTGTTTTGCGAGAAAACCATACACTGAATGGTGGTATGATATGTATCGAAACGGAAAAGCAAAACAGGTATACATGTTGATTCAAAGCTAAAAGGCGAGCATCTATGCGCAATTCTGAACTGGTCTAATTGGGCTCCCATTGTTGCCTTCAATTGAAAGTGATTCCAGAACAATCTTCTTTAAAAGAACTAATTAATCAATCTGCCACAACTACATCATAAAGGAATAACGTTAATCTTCTTGTGATACAATTACTTTCTGTCTCCCCCCCCCCTCCTCCCTCTCGACTTTTTCTCACTTCGATGTGCCTCCCTTCGTTAAGACCGAAGACAACTAGTGGACTAATGATAACTATCATAACGCCTGTCATTTGAAACAAATAAATTTATTCAATAGCCCCAACAATTGATTCAAACATCCAATTCATGCATTACTTCTATCAACACCTAAAGAAAACCCCATCCACCCAGGTCACCTATCTTTTCAAGAATACCACTTCTAAGAAATTCTAACAATCCCTTTTCTGTTCCGCCGTCGTAGTAAAGATAAGTAGAAGATAGAAGGCAAAACTTGTAAAGTAGCTAGAGAAAACAACAAAAATCTTACCTCCTTCTCCTTCAGGTCCTTCAGAAATGGTTGTCAATGGTCTAAAGTACGCAAAATCAATCAAGTCAATTTCGGCACACCAGAAGAGGTACCACTTAAACAGGCCCTTTCCAAACTCACATTTGTGAAGTTTTCTTCTCCATAGGTCCATCCGATTTCCCATCCTCCGGACCAAGAAGTTTATGCTGTGAAGAGATGGGAACCATGAACGACTGACCCTCACCAGCGGGAGACACAGCACCTGGTGTCTGCTCACTTGCGTCGAGAAGAAGAAGAGACTTGATGGCTTGCGCTTCGGTAGGTTTCATCGGCGTGAGAACTAGCGCTGGTGTCAATGGACGATAGAGAGCTGCGAAGACAGCACATTGGAAAAGCATTCCAGCAAAAAGGATCAATGTGTTGGACCAGCCGAATTTCTGCATTTAGAAGGAAACGCATGAAGATGAAAGTGGGGGAAAATGTGGAAGTTGTAGAAGCCACCACGTGTTAAATGATGCGTAATTATGAGCATATTACTTTCGTGTGTGTGAGCAAACCAGTAAGTATTTAAAATTGACAAATACACACCATAAGCATTAACATATGATGTTAAGGTTGGAGTGAATTCTAGTGGTGCATGTTATAAAACAGTCATTTTGGTAAACACAATTACCCGTTCTTACCTTGATTGACCGCAAAATTAAGTAAACATGCTCTAAATATCACGAACATGAGAAATCAGCCGGGAGTGAATGATCGAATTTGAATTTTAGAAAGTCAGAAAATTTCGAAGTGAACTGAGGTCCTTGTCAGAAAATGGATAACTAGGAGTCTCCAGGCTACAAATATTTATTTATTTCAATCAAATGGCAGGTGTTTTGATGGTTATCATTAGCCCTTTAGTTGACTTCAGGCTTCACAGAGGGGAGGAGGAACATCAAAGTGAAAAAAGTCGAGGGGGGGGGCGAATAAAAGTGATTCACAGATGTAAGAGAGACAGACAGACAGACAGATATAAAGGTAGAAAAAAGGTGAGCTGAGTACTGCGTAAGTAGTTGAATATGACAAGCAGTTGGGCCATGGTAGTTTGAAGTCAGAAGTCATCTGCCGATTGATAGACTTTTTTACCGTATGAGTATACGTTGCCCAGGGTGCACCACGTGGAGGTAAGTCTATCGCACACCCCAGGCTACAAATATAGTAAATCCTTAATGCCTCGATCTCACCATTAGATCTGTCCTAGAACTTCTTGCCTCATTCAACTCCAATTGCACTCTCTGGATGCTCCTTGATTGAAATACCTTTCCACTTATACGACTTGTAAAACTTCTCCCAATAATTAAAAGCCTCGTAAAAATTGGAAAATGGAAATAACGATTTAAAACATGCTTTTACTTTAAAAGCATCAAAATACCAAATAATTTTACTTCGTATTCATTGGCCTGGATTGTTGAAATTAAATAAATAATGAATGGTGGAGGGCGGAGGAGAATTCCAGTAATAAGAAGTTTTTTTATACCAAACGAATGCATCATTTTACTAACTTTCGCACAATGTTATGCTCCAAGTCAATACAATGGAAATTAATTGTTGGAAACCTGTAGTCGGCAGCTTCAAGGTGCAGTCACGAACGTACAGAGACGACCTCCAGCAGTTTAAGAGAATAACTCAATCGCAAATTAATTTTATTATCCTCGTGGAGTCTAATCGAATGTTCCCTAGCTTTATAACTTCATGGGAAATTAGCCATTTGGAAAGGTTCCAGGCAAGTTTCCATTAGTAAGTTGTTTGAATTTAAATCGTGGGACTGACAAAGCTATTAGGGACGCAATCAGTGTAAGTTGAAATCGAATTAAAACCGGTTTCGAGAAAACAGCAACTCTGCTGCAGTAAGCCCGCCTTTAACCCTTTAAACATGGGATATTTTAGATTCACATGCCTTTAATTCGAGCAAATAAGAACCGGATTTGAAATACGAGATAAAGAAAATGTCCATAATACGAATTTTTCCAAATGAAATTGCCAACTAATTCAAAAATAGGCTTCGAATCACCCCTACACCCTTCCGAATATCCTCCTACCAGGAAGGTTGCAAGAGGGGGCGGAGGACGGGGGGGGGGTGAGGGAAATATCAATAGGAATTGGAGTCATTTGAAGCACAAGTCCAATTTTTTAAGCTCAATTTTCATTTTCCTTCAATAAGTGCAGTATTGGTAAATGTAAACCTCACTATTCAAAATGAATTTTTCTTCCCACCGATTATTTCATTTTATCCCAATCTCAAAAAAGGAAGAGTGAATTTTGAAAATAGTCTTTAATCTTTATGATGATTGCTAAGGCTTTTATTCAATTTCAAATATAAGGGCTCGATTACCATAATTGTTTCACAAAACAACTTCATTTATGAAGCTCTTAAGCCTTTAACCCTCCCCCCCCTCGCCCGGCAGGACCGTACCGATCCTGTTTCAAAACAAACTCCATTGATACTTGATTCACAAACAGATGACGCTAATATTGCCATTTGAAACATGCTCAATACGTGGCTATAGCCTTCACCTGATACACCACCAATACTCCTCACGTCGGCGACATCAGTCTACTGTGAGATGCACGTGAGTGCAGCTGTGGGTGCACTTGTCAAATAAATAAACCGGACGTTCAAGGGGTTTTTAAACCATGTGAATAACAGACGAAAAATAATGAAATTAAAATGAAAATTGCCCACCGATTTCTCAAATCACTAATATTTTTTATCCCACCAAGGAGGGAAAAAAATCGCTTGGCTTATGTAAAACCGGGCATTAACG